ATAATAATAATAATAATAATAATAATAATAAAATATTTATATAGCGCCAATATCCTAAAAGTTCAAAAGCGCTTTACAGTTAGAAATATTAAAATTCTACAACAACACGTCATCGCCTGTCATATATTTTTCGACTTATTGCTTACGGCAAGAACTTCCCCTGTGGACCTTTTGGAGGCTGAATACCCTAAGAGGTACTAAAACTGCTTTTTTAACCCCTAAAAGGTGCAACGGGCACCCCCGTCATTTTTATATGTGAGTCCCCTCCCCGGATCCAGACCTCTCGGACTGATAAGGCTGATAAGGTTGTCTTTATGTTGTCATTAACAGGCAAACTCCTCAACGCGTTACTGTCTGGATTAAGCGATCGTAGCGCTTCTGTGAGGAAATCTTACGCCACTGCTATCGGACATCTGGTCAAGGTACACTCAGATAAACCTTCAATTCTCCTCACTACGTTTTAGGCATTTTTTATGCCATTAGTTGGGAGAAACTCTTTAAATATCAAGACAATTACCTTTTGATAATGAATGTGATTATGAAACGTACTCTGCTTGAATTAAACCTGTATTAATTTGTGAGTCAAAAATTTAATGCCTTCTTTCTTTACAGGTGGCGAAGGACAACAGCGTAGAAAAACTTATCGATAAGATAAAGAACTGGTACTTTGAAAAGGAAGGTAAAAACTGCTATTTTATTATGTGACAGACATTAGCTTTTAACCTTTTTAATAAATTCGAAAACCACTGCCGTGTTTTTGAAACCTTACTTCTAGATGAAGGCCTGCGTTTGGCCTGCGGACTAACGCTCCAAGCAATGTCACGGTATTCCCCGGATGTAATGAAGCGTCACACAGCCAAGGCCCTTCCAGCGGTCTTCTTCGCCATGCACGAAAAGAAAACGACAGGTAGTGATCGAAGTCTAATTTCTCCTTTCATCACTGGGGTTTATCGTCTTGATGTACCACAAGATTCTCAGAAACTCTTGTTGGTTTTTGTAGTAGCTGAGTACATTTACAGAATTATTTGATTGTTGAAGACCTGTGTAACGAAGACATGATCATTATATTCACAGCTGGCAGCAGCTCAAGTTCTAATGAGTCCTTGTGGGAGGAAATTTGGCTCGAGAATACACCAGGTAAATGGCATGTTTTGTGGTTCACTTGAGTGTACACTCTGTCTGAGATTATAAGGTCAGTTGTGCTGATAGAGTGGTTTGCTAATGATTGTCGTAAAAATTTCACTAGCCGATCGTCACGCCGGCAGATGGATAAATATCTACTTAGAATTGGAAACAAACTTATGGAACCGGTGCTAAGACTCGCAGGCACTTGGGAAACATTAACTGGTGTCATTCACGCGAAAACTGAGTACTGTTGCCAAGACAAAAAAGTGCGAAAACTGGAATATTTAACCAGGAAAACACATAAACTGTGTCAAGTGCGGGAAAACACATAAACTGTGCAAGCGCGGGAAAACTCGTTAACTGTGCCAAGTGCGGAAAAACAAACGTAACGCGGCGCCCTGCCGTTTCCTTTGCTTGTGATAACTGTTCACGTGTTCCTTTTTTCAGGTACTGAAGCGGGAATACGGCTGTACCTGGATGAAATAGTCTCCATCACGTGCCCTGCTTTGACGTCACAATCATGGACAACCAAGGCCCAGGCTGCCGTCACGATCTCTGCCATAGCTCAAAAGCTGGGTACGAATAAAGTTCAAAAATCCTAAATACTGATTAACACATTTGGATCGTTGTGAGAATTTATTAACGTGTGTGTCTATTACATCCAGGCTCCTCTTTGTCTCAACCTTATCTTGGTAAGTTGCTCGGTTCTCTGGTCAGCGGATTGGTCGGTCGAACCTGGACAGGCAAGGTGAGTAAGTGATACTCTTGTTTGTTTGCTAGCTCGTCAGCAGCCTGTCATGGATAAAAAGGCCAAATATGTGGTCGTCTACCCTGTTCACTGGCTCTCAGATTTCTATTGTGGTATTACTCACTGTCTTTTTTTACCGCAAATAAACAAAATAAACTGTTGTGTTCCAATACTGTCCGGTTATCTGGTGTAGCTGGTATACACTACTCCGTGTTCTGTAAGATTCCTTAAGACTATAATCTCAAGTGACCTCATAACTGCTCATACATTTGTCTCATTGGATAGAGTGAGTGTGACGCTTGTTAGGTATCTTTTCTGAGATATGCCAAAAGCAGCACATGTCTTGTTAATTGAATAGAGTTTAGTAATAATTTTCAAACATCAAATATTCGTGAAATAATTATTTTAGATATGTGGATGGCATTGTGTTCTGGAGCCTCACTTTTTGAGTCACTCTATACCTCTTTGTTCCGTTTTATTTTGTTTCAATAGGAAGCCTTGCTATCTGCACTCTCCTGTGTTTGCATAAAATGCAGGTAAGACGCTCGAATATAATACGGTATTTTCCCCGGTTTTGGCGGGAAACACTAGCTAACAGTTGTGTGAGACGCGCGGCACGCCATGGAAGTTGTGACGTATTTGCACATTATGGCGGGAAACAATTTGAAGCTGCGGCTCCTGCGAGCCATTATACTTTATTATTATTCTACTACGCCACAATGAACAACCAAGACCTTTTCTTGCGACACTGAACTACTACATGTCAAAGTTTTATCCCTTTGTCTTGAGGATTAAAAGCTTGTCATAAACTTTTTGTAGTGAATTGAGTATAATTCCTTTCGCTCTAGATATTCCGGTTAAATAATATTTCTTTATTTTCCAGGAAATCCATAGAGGAGTCATCTCCTAGAGTTGATCCAGATATTGAAAAAGTAAGAGAAACAACAAAACTGATTTTAACTTCAGCGTTTAGAAGATTTTACCTACAACAGAACCCTCCTTGGAAAAGGCTTTACTGGAAGTATCTGTTAGCTCTATCTCACTTTTCATCTCCTCTCAAATCTGTAGGCACTGCGACAGTAGCTTTTCCTTTGAGTGGAAGCTAAGTAGAGCTAAACAGGCCATGAATTCGTATTCTCGGTATTGGACTGGAACTGCAATCATGGACAAAAATCTTGGGACAAATTTGCACTTTTGGTGCTTTTGCGCACACGCCAGACGCGAATACTACTTCACCTGCCTAACCTCGCCCCCCACCCCCCATACAATGTTGAAAACTACTAGCTGCAATTTCTCCTGATTTTCAACATTGTATTGGGTGAGGAGGGGGAACAGTAACGCGTTTTTAAAAGGAAAGCAGGCTTTTTTCAAACTTCAGTAGTAAAACACAGATAATTCGTCAACTTACATAAGTGTCCCAAGGACTTTTGTCCACGATTGTAGCTTGCAATGGAGGCTCATGCGGGAAAAATCATTAAAAAGGGATAAATGTCATTTACATTTGAAGACTGTCGGCGTTAACCTCAGTTGCAAGCTAGTTCCAGTCCAAAACCGAGAATACGAAAATAGTCTAGTCCTTGTTCAGTTTACACAATAGTACTCCAAATAAGAGCACTTCAATTCGCGTTATGATTGGTTAAGTGGGGCTCTCTTTTTTTCACTCCAGGTGCTCGACTCGGTATTTAAGGAATGCAGAAAAGACAATCCAACATACAAGATGGCGGCGTTGAAGTGCTTTGGTGAAATAGTCCAGGAATATTCTATTGACAGATTTCAACAACTATCCGAGCTTCTCTTCCCCATCATTGCTCCTGTAAGTGCTTTGCTCAAATGCTTTTCGACATCTAATTTCTCCTTACAATATCTAGACATAATCAAGGAGACAGGTGATGAGAATAAAGATGGTCAACTAAAGGATATCGTATTGATTTAACGATAAATTCACACATCTAACGTTAAAGAATCTTATCGAAATAAGTTAGGAGAAATTTTAATTCAAGCTCGGGAATGACAGTTAGTCGCCTCGAGGTTAGTGCATTCTCCTCCGGATCAAGCACTCCGGGTTCGAGCTCTGGCCGGGGACATTGCATTGTGTTCTTGGGCAAGGCACTTTACTCTCACAGTGCCTCTCTCTACCGATGGGTACCGGCGAATTTAATGCTGGAGCTAACCCTGCGATGGACTAGCATCCCATCCAGGGGGGAGTAGAAATATGCCTAGTCGCTTCGTGCCACTGGAACTGGGATACGCTCCAGCCTGATGGGCCACTTGACTCGTATGCAGACTTCTTTCTCCTTACTTGACAGGAGCCAAAGGAAGAAGGAGAAGAAGGTGAGGACGAGAATGAAGACGAGGAAGAGAAGGACAAAAAGGTCAATCAAGAATTCTTGGTTTGTGCTTTTGATTGTCTGGGACAGTCATGGCCGAAAAATGCCACTGATTCACAAGGTGAGCTTTTACATCTAATACCTAATATTGGAGCTCACGGATGTAACGTTAATGTGTGAGCTATACAATGAAACATGGGGCTGTGATGGCCAAAACATGCCGCTCTTTCACAATGTGAACTTCTGCAACTAATATCTAGTCTTGGAGCTGACAGATGTAACGTTAAATCTGTAAGCTACGCAATGAAACATAGGAACATGGTGGCCAAAATATGCCACTTTTTCACAGGCTGAGCTTTCGCAAGTTATGTTTTGTTACTTGTTTTTTTTTCAAATAGTCATTGCTTCGGTTGGGCGGGCGCTTTGTTATTGTCCGAGCCGCAAACACTACACTTTTGCCCCGTTCCCATATCTGCACACCTCTCCCTAGGGGACACGTTTTTACTCCAAGACGTCCACTGATGGCGCGATTCCGAAGCAAAATGACGTTCTTTTTATTGCCCACGAGTCGACGTGAAAGCCCCGAAAGCAAACTCAGAAACGGTCTCCTGTTAAAAATGCCCTGTTCAATATTTGCATGTTTACTCAACAGATAAACACGCCGAACGCTTCTGTTCCATACTCACGAATGCCCTCACTTCAAACACGTGGAAAGTACAACTCGTAGTTTTGTCCGCCATAAAACTGTTTATTGAAAGGTAAGTTATTGAAACGTCCTTCATCTTCAATAGCCCCGCCCAATAGCCCACCAAGAGTTTCGTATACATCTTCCCACCGAGTGTTAGGGCTCGAGAAACCTCCGAGACTGGACCGGAAAAATTCCAAACTGATGACGTAGCTCTGCAGAGGTCTGGGTAGCCTCTCTGATTGGCTATTACTTGCGCGCGAAAATTCGAAACCGAGTTACAACCAATCAGAGTCCTCGCTGCCAAGCTGAATTTTAATATATCGAGAGTAGTCTATTCAATACTCGAAGAGTTTGTTTAGTTACTTTAAACGATTTTCAGCGAAATGGTCCCTTCTCTCTCTGAGTGAAGGCAGTTGGAATGACATACTGGGATTTTTTTTTTCTTGCTCGAAAGGAGGTTTGTAAATGTACTTTGAAACTTTTTTTTTTCCATATTTTTCAGAATGGACTGGATAAGTGGAACTCCTGATGGCTCGACAGAAGAGAGTATAGACAGAATAGCAATGCTTAGAAGTACCTTAGGACAGTTCATACCACCTGTCTGTGAATGTTTAGGTTTGTTTCCCTAGAGTGTCATTTTAATGCGTCGTTTTAAAAGTCTGACTTTCGCAGCCGAAAAGCTGACGGGCGAGACGCGGCGAGATTTCAAGCCCTCGATGTTGTTGCTTCTTGTACGCACTCGTCGACTATATATCACTCTCCTTGCGTTTCAAGTTCAACTTGCTTACATTTTCTCCGAGAGCCAGCCAGAGTGTTTGGCTCGTTTGATAGATAGGTGATCTCAACTTTGGCCTACTGTCAGCTTGTTCAACCAATCGCCGATCACATTCGAGGAGACTGAATTGACGTAAACTCTCGTCCAACCTTTAATCTCCCAAATCTTGTTAATTCCTGTTTCTACAAGTTGTATCCGTAATCTTTCTCTTCCTCTACAGAGGTTAAAAAATACGCCGCAGTACGGCTAGGAGCAGTTGAAGTTTTGGAGGCAGTGCACACAGCTCTGAAAGGTTGCTTTCCTCTCACTCATCTGTATTTATCTCTGTCATTCCAACTACTTTATTTTGAGAACAAAAATAATATTAACTCGTTTATTCTTCCTTTCAGGGCACAGTCGCTTATCTTTGCTGACGGAAGAACTAAAAGAACACATATTGGACAGTCTGAAATACGTTTACAGTGACAAAGAGCCCAATATACGCGATAAAGCTGCGAAACTGAAAAACAAGTTACTATCCCTTGGCTCGTAGTTTTCAACAAATGATGACAAAAAAGTTCAAGACTACAATCTAGGACAAAAGTCTCGCGACAAATTTGCACTAGTGGCGCTTTTCACGCACGCCAAACAAGTCGCGTGCAACTACACTTGCCCGACCCCTCCCCCCACCCAAACTGCAATGTTGGACACGTGCTCGTGCAATTTCTCCCAAGTTTCAACATTTTATTCAGTGGGGAGGGAGGGGTAGGGGAAGGTTTTTTAAACGATAGAGGTGCTTCTTCAAACTCCAGTTGTAAAACTAAGTTAATTCATAGCATTGCATCAGTGTCCCAAGGACTTTTGTTCAGCATTGTAAATTTAAAAACGTCAGCCGTTTTCGGAAACCTATTGAAAAATGGAAATCAGAAATTCATATTTGGCGTATTACCAACACCTCAAGTGAAAGAAAAGACGTTACTATAAAACCTCCAAAATGTGTTCAAATGAATCTTCGTCAACATTCCCACCTAGTGCAGTGCTTGATGGTTTGTGGAAAATAATCGAATGATGGTCACTGACAATGTAAAACGATTGCCTAAAGTGACTTAAGTGATCTGCTATATACTGTATATAAACAAAATAGTTTTTAGGAAATAATGGGACATCAAATGAACAACGTTTAAATTAGAACTGTTACTCAATCTCACTGATAAACTGTTACGCTACAGTTTTGTTACCACTGAAGTGCAGGACAGCTTTTAATGCGTACTTCATTTAACCCGTGGGAGACGCGCTGTCCCAAAGGCCAGGCCAATGGAGGCCAAATTGAGTGGTCCCGGAGAGGGAGGGGGAGGGGAAAGGTAACCCTACGTCGGACAAGCGTCCGGTATAGAAATACTCCTAATCGGAAACCGAATAAAAACGCTGGTCGAACGGGCCATTGGACTCGACTAATTAACACTTGTTTTTTCTTCATTGTTTACCACGGTGACGGTTGAAGCCAAAAGCATCAGTGTATATCAGTAATTAGTTGCACTGGCGAATGTTTCAAATTGTTTACATTATCAGTAAACACGTAATACTACTTCTCTAATTTGAATTTTTTTATCGTGTTTCATTGGTTTCCACACTGCAATCTTTGAATATCTTCAGATCGTTGTTTGATCGAATTCAATTCTTGTCGTTCTTCGTCGTTTTATCGGCCTGCATATTGCTTTTTCAATACAGTGTTGCATGTGGCAATTTTACCCCAAAGGGTCACTCGATAGCTCTCGGGTCAGCCTAGACAATGTTTAGGTTAGCTTGTTTATATTTAGCTCTTTAAAATATTATTGTTTATTGAAACAGGGCTCGTGTTGAGGCTCGTGACTCAGAATTCAATTGACTCAGCTTCAATTGACTCATAAATACTTTGGCCTTGGAAGGGAGAGAAAGAATGAATGAAGGAGAGAAGAACGCGAAGCTCGTTTGTAACTTATATTCTGGTACTACATTCTTACAATCTTTCTTTTTATGAGAATATCGAGGCTGAAATTTGCGAAATTTTAAGAATATTTTATGAATAAACCCGAGGCTGAGATTTTGAAAAAATCTAATTTTGTGTACCGAAAATTTGCAAACACAATACAATTATATGTTTTGAACTAAACCGTATAAAATTCTTTCTCTAAACGGCAAAAACTAGCCAAAAAGCAACAAAAACAGCACTAGCCGTATGTTCAATGCTAATAACATTTCTACAAGAAGTTATGTGTGTTATATCTGGCTTTAATGCCTTCAGGCTGGCTCCAAAATTACTTTAACAGCATCCAGACACCAAATACATACGAAAACAGAAACGTCACACGTTATAATTCAAGAATATATTCATAATATTTCGCTGAGCCTAAAATCGGCAGAAAAATAATATTCAGCCTCGGCATCTGTCATCTGTCATCCCGTTTGCTTTCCATCCGCGTGAAACAATGTTCGGATTGGTGGGACTCTAAATGCATTTTATCAAAGTAAACACGGCTGTCAATACTTTGACGCTCTGGGCTCTTCCAAGTTGTTCATGTCTGCATTTGAAATTAAGTTCAATTTAAAATTAGCATACCGAAGACTATTTTGCAGAACTGAATTATCGGAGGTGAAGTTGTTGACACACATTTCTGGTTTGTTCCGCATTCTCTTGTTTTCTTATATTTTGTCTTCAGCTAAGATCAGCATAATCTCTAAAAACAAATGAGAAGTGGAAACCAGTTACAAAGGTTTTTATTTAAACGTCGGGTACGCTGAAAGGCCCATCTATTAAATATATACAGCAAGAACACGAAGACTGTACTTTGACTACACATTTTCTGTTCACTACAACTTCGATAGAGAAAAACTAGAAAATCACCTTGCATTGTTATATAACTGAGGTGGCTATCAACGGAACAAATTCAAACGGCTCTGTAAGACATAGATATTCAGACTGCGCTATTTCATGAATTCTACACTGAAGGCTAACTCAGATTGTTTAAAATACAGGCCTCGAAAAATATCATCTACGTCTCTTATCCACTCTTAGATTTCTTCTCGATTCTTGCTCTCTGTGTTTTCCCCTCCTCGTGAGCAACAAAACAAATTGTTCCGAACAGACTAACAACACCAACTATTCCGAATGCCACCCAGCAGCAGGGAGTACTGAAAGTGAGGCCTGCTACTACCGAGGTGAATGCAACTTCTGTAGCCGACATTATCTTAGGAAAGAAAGAGAAAATCGGTACTATTAATATTCTACTATACAGTGAATTCATAGGCATAAACAGACGATGAAACCATGGAATATCGACACTCAAGTAGCAGGTTATTCTTGGATTACAAAAGGAAGGGAAGTTTTACACTGTAACAGACGTCGCCATTAATTAAACCATGTGTCTGCTTTTTACTGTGGCGTGTCTACCCAGAAAAGCAGATCGCTCGCAGTTGTCTACTCCTGACCACGTTTTCGCAAAAAGAGAAACCAAAAATCGATGATCCAAATTCAATTCCCAGCTCGTGGGAATTACGACGCGTTATCCTTACGTAACTCTTTTGGCATAAGGATAACGCGTCGTATTTTGCTTGTGTATTTTCTCAGAATGATGCAAGGCGGTGGTTCCGTTACAATTGCACGAAGAGACAATCAAATACTCAAAGTTTTCCGTACAATTTACTAGCTACGTACTTTCTTGTACTAGAAAGGCATATGTCTAGGCATCTGGCTACGTATACTAACAGGAAAGGTAACAAATTCAATTCTGCTGGCTAACTTTTGTACAACAAGGCAGAATCGAAACTGGAAGTGTATTCCCTCACCTTTGTTTAAAAAGCAAATCGGACCTGCGTTCTTCGCTGCCTCCTCTCCTTTGAAACTGAGCTTCAAACTTGAGGCTGAAAGATGTAACAAAGTTGCAATGTGTAAGTTACAACTGACGGTACAAAGAACCGGGAGACTTCTTAATTTAAACACAGATCATACCTTGATTTGCCGTTTCTGGTTGCGAAGCAATGCCGATTTGGGTGTGTAAGGAAACAGACGTGACGTTGCGATTCTTTTGTTTCACTGACAAAAACAAAGTGAAAATCGTGATTAATTATTAAGAGAAAGATGGGAAGAAGCGGGGGGGTGGGAGATAGGACTCAGATGATCAGTGGTTTCCATCACGCTCCGCGCTATGTTGCTACTAGTTCCCGGCCCACCCCACTGCACTTGCGCTCCGTACTAGTTCCCGTATGTGCGTAGACCGTGCACTGGTTCTCAGTCCTTCTTCTCACTACGTTTAGGGCCTCCTCATGCTTTGTTATGCATGACAAAAGCAGGCGTACAGAAACGTTTGTCTCTACAAACCCGAAGTAATAAATAGCACTTGAAGATCTAGAATAGATTTCGGTACAAGATGGATAACGGAAAACAACTTTTGTCTCATCAAGTTGTATAAAGTCTGAGACGCTAGATGCATTTGCGGCTGCTTCACCGGCTCACTCGCTTTGCAGGATTAAGGCCTGGACGCGAGCGCTACAGGAGTCGGGAGCTACTGCATGGGTAAATCGGTCAGTATAAAACATGGACTGTGGACTGTGGACTGTGGACTGTGGACTGTGGACTGCGGACTGCGGACTACGGACTACGGACTGCGGACTACGGACTGCGGACTACGGGATGGGTATGAAACACGGACTGAGCCAGTAAAACGCGGACTAAGCATTACGGTCTAGATCTGGGTATAAAACACAGACTCGGGTACAAAACGCGGACTGCGGATTAAATGCGGCCTACCGACTAGGGACTGGGTAAAAAACACGGACAATAGTCCAAAATGCCAAGTTTCCTGCCAAGTGACCACGGTGCATGAAGGGAATGGTATTTTCGCGCTATAAATGTCACTTGGTAAAACTGCGCATGTGCCGGCCCAAGATTCCTGTTGTTGAAAACAAATTTACTTTTCTTGCTTGATGCATTCGACTTGAAAGCCGTTAAACCAAGGGGAGTGGAGTAAGATAAGTGTTCAGTGCGATTGGTGACAAGAAGTGTTAGTATAGGTAATCGTATGAACGCGAGTGCAATTATGGAGTGCAATTATGAGTGATATTTGATAATTCTCTCAAAATTGCACTAGCCTTTAGTCGAGTGTAATTTGAAAGAATCTTCAAATGTAACGAGTGGTGTAAATCCTTAATTTTCGGACTTTCATACGATTACTCATTATATCACTGAGAAAATTACAAACGCACGCGCGTTAATTAATTATTTGCACTGCAGTGCAAATTGAAAATTAACGATGAATTGGCCTGCCTCAGCCAATCACATAATAAGAAATGATACTTTCGAGCCCATTATGAAAGGAGGGATTGTTTTTGTCCTCGTAGGAGTAGGCAGTTATACAGAACCCCAAAAAATAAACAATAAGTATAGGTAATCATACGGTTTCTCGTTCAATTTGGAATTAATTTGCACGAGTGAGTTTTTCAAAAAGCTGAAATTGCACGAGCCGCCTCGGCAAGTGCAATTTCAGCTTTTTGAAAAACTCACAAGTGCAAATTAATTTCAAATTGAATGAGAAAAACCGTATGATTACTTATTAGTAATATAAACATGAAAAAATGTGCGTGGAGGAAGTGCCGGAAGACCTTTCTTGAAGCCATTTTTTCTCATTCGAGGAAACTTTTTACTTTTTTCGACGTTTCCGCACAAAATTTTCCTAATCGTTTTACGTAATATCATTGACTTCGAAAATTTCCAATTGTCTGTCAGCCAATCATAATCCAGAATTACGATGTGTAATTTGCACTGGTGTTACACTTTTTGTACCGGTGTTACACCTTTTGCGCTAGTGTTACACTTGAACTGCACTGCTCTCAGCCAATTAGAATCGAGTAATTTTTTTCATGTATATAAATTTCGCGGCTAATGACTTCGTGTGGATTACACCACGTGTAAGGTACACAAATACAACGTGCCCTTCCCAGCTGGGTCGCTACAGCGGGGGCCTTTTTTTAACCTGGTACCCAGTCCTGACTGAGCTTATTTTTATCTAACTAAAAGCGGTAACTTCAAAATGTTATTTGGTATTGTGGAGCTGCTGATTCTGTAAAGAAGCAAGGTATGCACAATTTCATTTCACAGGAAGGTTGCTACGTTCTTGCACTACGAGAAAATCAAAGTAGAATGGGAGTGGAAGCCGTTTTGGGGCTAAAATGTGAGACCTTTCGAACGCGAGTCGAACTCTGAATTACCCTAACCTATGCAGGAACCTCGTGCTGTTTTTCAACCTTGCTTTCATACAATACATGACAGGATATATTTACCAAAACATCGCTCAGACTACCTAGGAACACAACGTAGTTATAGAAAGCAACACCAGATATTGTTTCGTGATCTTAATTTCGCGATTTTGACATTATACCTAATATCAAATATAGTGTTTTGCACATGATGTCACAACAG